CAGCTTTTCTGGCCCAGTGGTTCTTGGGAAGATTTTCCCTTTATATTTCAATGTAAAACTTGGATTCACTATTGTGGCAAGACCCTACCCTTGGGGGTCATGGTTTTAACAATTTAGAGTCTATACTACACCAGGATGCTTTCATATAAGTTTCAGACTTTTAGAGATTTTAAGACTTTGAAAGATTTTTCCTACATATTTCAATGTAAAACTTAGATTGTGTCCCAACCCTACCAAAGGACTACAGACAATGGGTGATCAGAAGAGCTCACTTTAGCTTTCAGCTCAGGTGAGCTAATAAAATATGCTACATTGTGTATATTAATGCGAAATGCACATTGTTTCAATACACAGATTCATCCATACTACCTTTGCCCATTAAAAATACCAATAATTTACAATGGTCGAAGCAGAGAGGAGAAATGGCTTCATATTCCTGCCTCGTAGTTAAAGGTGCTTAGACACAGATTTGAACTTAATATTTTCTCAAATTTTCTGTTTAATATCACGACTTGTATATTTCAATAGCATTTCACACGAAAATATAATTTAAAACTTATTTTATCTGGAAATTATTGGAACTACAAATTCCGGGACGCGTTTGATTGACACATCTTTGCACTTACACAAATTTTAACTTTATCCTTAATATTTAAGAAAAGAAGCGATTTTTTTATGTATTAATGAAAAATATTAGATCTATATTCCAGAAAATTCAGAGTAGAAATGTTCGAAAGCAAAACCTATTCACCAGTATTGTCAGTCCGTGCTCTGTGATGTGTACAAAGTTTAACAAATTGAACACACCTGCGAAACGTAAACTGTTTTTGTAAACAGGGCACGAGCTCTGTTATTGTTAATGTTTACGATTCACCGGGTGTGTTCAATTGTTAAACTCTGCACACACCACTGAGCACGGACTGACAATACTGTGAGTGGGTTTTGCTTTCGAACATTTCTACTCTGAATTTTCTGGATTATAGTTTTAATATTTTTCATTAATACACAACAAAATTGCCATTTTTCTTAAGTATTAAGAATAAAATTAAAATAACAGAAAGCGCAAGAATGTATCAATCCAACGCGTCCAGAAATTTGAAGTTTTAATAACTTTGAGATGAAATAAGATTTTTATTATATTTTAGTATGAAATGCTAATAGCAACAGATTAGTCATGAAATTATACAGAAAATTTGAGAAAATATTAACTTCAAATCTGTGTCCAAGCACCTTTGAAATATACCAATTTTTATTATTAGTTAAATGAGATCAAATCTTGGTGTCTCTCTGTTACATACACAAATTATAACCTTGTGCTGTTTGTTAGGCTTTGACATGCCCAGTTCTGTCATTAGAAGCTGTGTCTCTGCAAATATTTTTAATTACTATTCAATGTTTAAGAGCTTTATTTATAGTACCTATTCCAGGAGTTTGTAAATTTTACCTGGAAACTTCTATTACATATCACTGCAACTCACAGCTGAGTTTGATAATATATATCTTTACTATATACGTATTGCTCTTTATGAATGTTCATTTTTGAGTGGAATCGTCATACAGGTATTATATTTTTGCAATTTATGCCATTCTTATGTTAATTGATCAAAAAATAGAATAGAAAAAAAACTAAAAGAACAAATGATATATATGTAGCTAGGTACCTTTCCTAATGCAAGTTCTGTATTAACGAAATGCACCGAGTCAATGATAGGAAGAGGGAATCCTTTGCTTCCAAGTTCTGAAAAAAAAAGTATAACCCGGTTCCTAAAGTTTATGTTTTGATCAACTCAACGGTAAACCTATGCAAATTTTGTTTTAAAATAAATGCTTAAATTTCCATCAATTCAAATTCAATTATTTCTTCAAAACGGCAGAATTTTCGACTCTTAACAGCTAGAAATAGTTTTAAATTGCCCCGTCTTTATCAAAATACCTCTTACAAAAATATTTCTTTATATTTCGTAATTTTTTTGTTATATCTAACAGAGTGAACAAATTCATTTTGCCTCTCTATGTCTTGCCATTCTTGCTGTCAGTTGAAAATTATCTAAAATAATGTAATAAAGCAGAATGGCTCTGTTTCTTTCAGCAAAGCTTACCGTTTAGTTTAGGTTGCACAAATATTGATACAACACCTTTGATGATAAAATTTAACCCCTGTGCCTGAAATAAACATTCATATAGATATTTTCATTCACAAACTTACATTTGCATTATCTAAGAACTACTAGTATACCAGTAATTCATTTATGACAATACTATTTCAAAGATTACTATTTTCAACTTACTGACAAAGCCCCAATTTTGGAGTCTTTCACTTTCACCTGTATCCTTTAAGAACAAGAATTGGCGTTTTAACAAATGATTCGACACCTACAAATTTTGCAAGCAAATTCAAAATTTATACATACGGTAAATCAGGAACTTTGGCGTATATTTTCCCATTCTGAATCATCAATGAAATTGTTGTTGTCATGCTCTAAAATAATTTTTAAACAGAGATTGTTGATTTCGGGAAATATTTTAAACTCAGTTTTAGTCTTTTTGCATAATAATAATAATAGTAACCTACTGCAGAAAGCGTCAAGAAATACGTGTATTTCCCATCAGATTGTTGAGCAAAGAAAAGGATGTCACCAGAGGTTTCCACCATAGTAGACCCATTCCGGACAGTCATGTTTGGCATCGTTGTAGATTTCATGTATAACATCACTGTTGTGTTGGGAAATTTCTCCCCAATCTAAATACATGTGCATAACTGAATTCTTTAATGGGCCAAAGAGAATAAGGTTAATCACAGAAAATTGAAAATCTTACGTATTTATCATGAATTTTGTTTAAAATAATAAACAGTAAGCTCTCAATATCAACTGATGCTTGTGCTCCATTAATTGTACTGGGAGCTGAAGGTCCTCCGTGAAACACATTTGTATTCCTGCGACAGCAACTAACACAACTTTGTTACTTACAACTTTAATGAATTTTCCAATGCATGTTGTTTTTGGACATGTTGTATTTAACACACCTGATGGAAGCTGTGAAATATAATAGTTTTTGACAAAGATCGTTACAATTGCAAGACAAGTTGAACAAAGACTTTTTTTTACTGCAACTGGTGTCTTCAATACCATATATCAACTACACCATTTTTATAACAAATTATAAGACGCCCGTGTTAATCAAGTAGATGATGGTTAAATTTACTATGTCGAATGCTGTAGTCAATTTAGTACTAGTAACTATTTGTGTGAAAATAAAGATTTGATTTTGCTACTTGTGTAGTACTTACATCTTTGTTCGTAACATTGTACTGAAGTTTATCATATTTGTATGCATTATAAGACATGGAGTTGAACAGAAAATCAGACATCCATAAGTACATCATTCTGGAGGTATCGTTGGATTTCAGCAAAGGAGGAACAGGGAATGGAGCTTCACGAGGATTGGCACTCCAGTACACCTCTCCCTTTTGAAGTATATGTTTAAGAAATAAAGTTCTTGTTTTCGTTGATATTGCAAGATAATCTCCGGGGTCGATAAATGTTGTTTTGAAATATAAAAGCCGAGGCGTTAGCCAAAGCTTTTGCATTTCACACAACATTTCGAGACGAAGGAGGTTATCCTGCACCATTCACGACAACAAAGGACTTTATTTCTTTTCTACTAACAGCTCTAAAATACGGCTTATCGTTTCCTCTATAGCGAAACGAATAAGATCACCATGTCGTGATTTGGCTGTTCCATGTAACACCAGAGGGTCAACTCCTTTGTTTACTTGTGTATCGATATCAAAGGAATACAGACGATTAGAGCTTTCGTTGGATTACAAATATCCTTCATCATTTATAGTTTTGTTTACAACATATTTTAATTATTTTTTATGATTATAAAATAGCAAGATCTGTTGTCGATTTAATTGCTTTAACAGTAAATTCATGGAGTGTAAATGTTGTGGGGAAGTCCGTGGAACAACTCCTTTAGCTATAAAAACAAACGTATGTCAGCTTTTTTAGGCAATACACATGAAGATATTGCAGAAAACGAGACAGCGATGTAGTCTAAATACGTATTACATTCGGAAGTCATTTTTTTTAAATTCTTTTTTTCAAATTTTTATAAGTGTTTCTAATCTGATACTTTTTTGATGATGTTCGTAATTTATTGGAAGATATTGGCCGCGGCATTTCTTTGATTTCGACAGTAACTGTAGTAGAATAGAAAAATAAATCATGGTCACAGTTTTTATGTCAAAAGAATAAATTATTTTGACCTTTTTAAATAACCATTTTAAAGAAGCCCTGTATATTTTTCCTACAGAATAAAATATTTTTATGTCAAAATATTAATTAAATTATTATGAAATATCAGAACATTCGAAAAATTTCCTAACTGAATTCATTGTAATAACATAATGCTGCTGAGTGGAATACCTTATGGTACGTTTCCATAAATGTTGATGAAAAGGCTGGCTTTGCTAAAAGAGTATAATCCAACAGGAATTGCTTCGCAATTTGCACAGTTACTGTGAAAAGGAAATAAGGAAAAAACCGTATATTATGCTTCAAAATGATTGATCTAGAGCATCAGAAACATCAGAAATTATGAAGTCTGAGTATGGTTGTTAACTTGACACCCTCGGGCACAAGCGCCCTTGGGTGACAACTCTACTCAGACCTCATAATTTGTAAGTCTCTCCATTAAACAGTCCAGAATTGTACATTGATATGAGGAACATTTAAGCCTGCTGTAGAGACAATTTTTGCATAAATAGTTGTAGAAAAGATACAGTGTACACGTGGTATATATTTATAATTCTATACGGAAATAATTCTATTACCTGGTAACTTCTTTAAACTCTCCATTCCGTTCACATTCACAAGGTTATTTATTTGTTTGCATAACTGAAATAAACATGTAAAATTACATTTGCCTTACTAAGCAATGAAAACTTGACTTATTTCATTTAAAATAAATTAATGAACAATATTTTAAAAATATATAAAGTAACATATATTTCTTACAACTCCATTGCCTCCAGCAATCATATCTTTCAGTTTGCCTTCCAGCATTCCAGAAAATAGGTTATAAATCCATGCAGCACCGCCATGAAACTTTATATCTGCTGAGCCCACGCTGCAGCTACAGCCCACTGATTTCATTGTCGGACGTCCAGAATTGTCCACACCTTCAAGATAATATTATGTTATTAATTTTCCAAACCATATTTGTATAAATTTTGCAAACTAAATTTGAAGATTTATTAGCTTTAAAAAAATATTTCATTTTTATATTTCTGAATACAATACATGTAGTGGGGACCAAGATTATTTACTGCTTTTCATATTTACCAATCTCTATCTTTAGCTGAAAGGCAATATCTCTGGAGTTCAGGTCAAAACTTCCGGAGTCGGATATTTTGATGCTAGAATAATCCACAGAAAATAAGACCGTTTTTTCAGTACGAATAAAGTGGCAAGTACATGTAGGTGTATTAACTTTACAAATAATTTTACTCTTTGTCACAGTTCAATTCAGATTAAAAAAAGAAATTTAGCAATTAACTTGTAGTTATTGAAAAGATTCCTTATTAAAAAGAAAAAAAAATTAAATGGGTAAAAATGTTCATAAAAATCAAATCTTGATTACAAATAAGAGCTCTTACATTCCTTTTTTATATTTGTAATGAAAATCTCCATGAAGTGCCAGTTTAGTTCCACTTGTGCTCCAAGACAGGCCAACATTCTGAATCATTGATACTCTGCTGCTTGGTTTGATAAACTCATTTACTTTTATTCTGAAAAGGAAGTAATGTTTATACTTAGACAGCATTGTACCAACAATCTCCGAAATTAGATATCCATAATTTAATTCAATGTTTCAAATATCGAGCCCCAAAGTTGTGGAAAACATTTTATTCGTAATACTTTACCCTGTTATGTCAAACTTGACGTCTCCAGTACTACCATGTTGATCAGGTATAGGCTGGCCTGTCACCTGCTTTGTCAATATGTCCAAGGCAACATTTGTAGCTATCAAAAAAGAGAAGAAAAAAAAGAATGCAAAAGAAAGAAAAAGAATGATAGAAGATTAAAAAAAATCGACAGATAATTGAATTTCTGTGGTTTCAGTTGTTTAATACGTTTGGACCATTGAAATTCCGCCATACAATTCGGTTGAGTGTATAAAGAATCCGTCTTGCTGATAATGTTCTAACAGAGTGTTTAACACATTAAATGTATTTGCTTATTCCTGATCCATGTCATGGATTGGAGATTTACAAGGTCAAAGGCAAAGCGAGTCATTAATACTTGATTTCCTTCCATGTCTGGGAACCCATAAATTTTCTTTATGCCTTTCGGATAAGCGGTTTTGAGCGGTTGCTTAGCCTTGTCCTTGATACATGGTCTTTTAGTTGTACCTGATCTCTGTCTCCCTCTCTCCCTATATATATATATATATATATATATATATATATATTTGTATCTCACTTCCATTCTCAATGACCGTGTAGTGTAGAACAGCGCCGCGAGAATTCCATCGGCATCGAAAGCAAGTTTTTTGACTTGCCTAGATAGCCGAGCGGTCTAGCGCGCTGTTCCTGTACTGCTAGGAGACCGATTCCCTAGGTCAAGAGTTTAACCCCGGGCTGGGGCGGAAGTGGGTATCCTTATAAAAGTGAATTTCTCTGTGCTTTCTATATTAACATTTCTTCACTTAGGGCAGTTATGTTAGTTTAAGATTTGTTGTAAAATGTGCTTTATAAATAAAAATTAATTTCATTACAGCGTGTATTGGTAACGATCCTCTGATAAAACTTATGTCCAAATAACTGTATCTCACTTCCATTCTCAATGACCGTGTAGTATAGGACAGCGCCGCGAGAATTCCATCGGCATCGAAAGCAAGTTTTTCGACTTGCCTAGATAGCCGAGCGGTCTAGCGCGCTGTTCCTGTAATGCTAGGAGACAGATTCCGTAGGTCGAGAGTTCAACCCCGGGCTGGGGTATAAAAAAAGTGAATTTCTCTGTGCTTTCTATATATATATATATATATATTCGAATTCAAGGACAAATGATTATTAATATTAAACACAATTGTTGCTTTGGTAATCGCATCAGGTAGATTGAAATAGACTGGAATGTTTTGATATTTTTTTTACGATGGTCAACTTCAGTTAAAATATTGATATATATACTGAAACGCAACATCCTAATTTTAGGGGGAAAATTATATACAGGTTAAACTTTGTACTTAAAAAGTTAGGACATCTTCAACTTTGCCAAATCAGTAATTTAACGGTTGAATGATTTTCATTCCATTACCGGAAGTTGATTATGAGCCCTCTTAAAAGAAATCAAAAATTGCATGTTTAATAAAACATTTTACAATAATTTATTGTTATCTTTTAACCTTAAAAAGTAAAACATAACTCTTAAATCATCCCCCTTCCGACCATTCAATTACAGCGTGCTAGGCCGCCATGTACAACAATTGCAGCTCGATTTCTACGATGCATTAGGTTTATCAGTCTCTTGATCTGAGCGAAAGAAATATTCTTAGGCATTTTTAAGTGCCTGTTTTTCAGATACTGAGGTCGAATTTTCTCTAACCTGGCGTACGTGGTTTAGTAACCCTTGGACTTCCGGTCAAAGAACTGTCATTCATTCTTATGAAACGCATGAGCCTAATGAATCTTTATGTACTGCATATTTGCATCTGCAACTCCCCTTTACCCTTATTTTGAGAAGTTCCAGGAAGGGCAATCAAAATGCGTGCTTTCATTCATTTTGAAGAAATATTGGCATCACATCGGGAAAAGAAAGAAGGATTTTTTTCGGAATATTAGTGCAATACTTATGATTAACAGGTAAAAACCCTTTAAAACTCAAATTATTGTTAAATGTTTTATTAAACATGTATATTTTGATTTCTGTTAAGAGGGCTCATAATCAACTTCCGGCAATGGAATGAAAATCATTCGACCGTTAAATTACTGATTTGGCAAAGTTGAAGATGTCCTAACTTTTTAAGTACAACGTTATAACCTGTATATAATTTCCCCCCTAACATTAGGATGTTGCGTTTCTTCTGCGTTTCAGTATAAAACTACAATCAAATAGACGAGATTTTTGAGATGACACTTCATGTGACGAAATTTAAAATTATTTGTCAGTTTGCCGTTATATGATTACAAGTCTCATAGCACTGCGTTTCACGTGTCAAGTAGCTATACAGGCAGTATCAATCCTTCAAATTTTCCCAGATGTTGTAAATTTTAAATTTTCATGCCAAGAAAAAGAACGCACTCTAGTTTTAGAGCGAACTCAATAAAAGCGGAATTAGCGTTAATCTGTGATTTTTTTCCCCAGGGAGATGTGCGCGAGGCAATTAATGTCAGCAGTTTTTAGGGAAGGATCTTATGGTTTTAAATTAAAGCTAGAATACTTATTATTTAGAAGCCTTTGCACTTTTTCCCGTTTTTTTTTTTTTTTGTTTTTTGTTTTGTTTTTTTTTTTGAGGGGGGGGGGGGGTCCATGCAAATCATATGCGGTTAAAAAAGTAAAATAGAAGAAAAAGAAAGTGAAATAGATTATAGTAAGCTACTTAATTGTTCAGTAAAAATTAGACGCCTTTCAAATTTTTCAGTGTTTCCATATCAAAATATTTTTTCCTGGTATTAATTAACATCGGGCACGATGAACTTGGTTGTTGTGGAAGTCTCGCGCCTTATTAAGGTATCATACCGGTAATTGACCAATGAAAATTGTAGTGCCATACATATGAAATCATTATTTTTTCCTTTTGAATTTTTTTTTATTTCCTTCAAGTCTATATTTACAATTTTGGTACCTGTGTCTAGTGCATTTTACATATTTTTAAACAAATAAAGGTTTTTGACAGGAACTATTTTTTTCAGGGCATAGGAGGTTACTTCCTGGGGTAGAAGTTTATTTTTACTTAGAAAACGGAAAACTTAGGATCCACCCCCTCAAATCTGCTGTCATTAATGGTCTCGCCAGCGATAGGGGAATATGGGCGATTTGCATCAATTACACTTTTATTGACTCCATCGCTGTGGAAAAATGGACGGGGTTTCTTGGCATGCTTCGGAAAACCCTCTTATACATGTACATGTACCCTGTTTGATAATATATATTATTTACTAGTTTACCTGCTAAACGTGTTTAACATAAAGTCAGGTATTTTTTAACTTATTAGGACATGTAGTCCTAAGAAAAAAAAAATAAAACAAGAAGTCTGTGAGCCAGTGCTCACTAATAATATCCCCGCTTTGATGTGAATACACAAGTTCAGTTATGGATAGACACAGTGATAATCAGGAAATTGACATCGGATTTGTACAAAAATGAATCCCAACATATAGCATGCCTAAACAAAGAGTGTGTTAAAATTGTAAGCATTTGCGATGAGTAGTTGCAGAGAAAACTGCCACCCAAATTTGTAATGTATGGTACGGACAGATGCACGGATAAACAGGAAGTTGACATTAGATTCATACAAAAATGATTCCCACCATATGGCATGCCTAAACAAAAGTTGTGCTAAAATTTCAAGCATCTGCGATGAGTAGTTGCTGAGAAAACTGCGACCAAAATTTGTTAAGTATGCTACGGACAGACACACGGATAAAGAGGAAGTTGACATCGGAATTGTGAAAAAATGAATGCCACCATATGACATGCCTAAACAAAGAGTGTGCTAAAATTTCAAGCATCTGCAATGAGTAGTTGCTGAGAAAAATGCGACCAAAATTTGTTACGGACAGACAGACAGACAGACACACAGACGGACAGACAGACACACAAGGGTAAAACAGTATACCCCCTCTCCTTCGGAGCGGGGGTATAAATATCATTAAATCAGCATATTATAATAATAAATGCATTGTATAATGAAAAGTATCGGTAAAGTTCTAACTGATACACAGGAGACAGTTATGCCGCTCCATAAATCCATCTACGCAATCAAACAATACCGTAATCAAGTGCCTTGTCGGTGATTCTTGTCTTTAATCCGGGTAATTTACACTCTGTCGATGTCACAAACAAAGACAAAACTGTTACGAAACACACTGGTTGCATCGCGGAAGAGTTCTTTTTGAAAGTAATATGTATAGAATGGATTTATCCACTAAAAATACAAGCTTTAATGGGGACGGCTCAGTCCAAAAATAGATTTAAATGGCCTTATTGTGAAATACCGACTAGGAAGTAAAATTTCTTACTCGGGATAAATACTAAATAGAAACTGCACATCTAGATGTCTCAGTATATACGTGTATAATATATAAAGTCATATTTATTTTAGATAACGAATTATTACAGATATTTGTTGTATTTAAATCAGTGTCACATGTACCGTATATTAAGAATATTTTTCTTATTTAAGGTTTCTTGGATCATCAATATTTTTTTTTTCAAAGACATTCATGAAGATCAATGATTTTATTTAACAAGTAGGAAAAACATCAAGATACATTATTTTGAGTGTACGTCATTGCAAAAAGAAATAAATTATATCACTTCCTCGTCGCCGAAAATGAATATATGTGACATTTACTTAATATACATATACATACATACATATATATATATATATATATATATAATATATATATATATATATATATATATATATATATATATATATATATATATATATATATATATATATATATATATATATATATATATATATATATATATATATATATTAAGGAAAACCATATTAGTGAACAATAAAAAAAATATCACAAAATAGCAAAATATCTAGGGACATAAAACAGTCTATATTTGTGTCCGCCTAAATGAATGCATTTCATTGCAAAGTTCAAAACATTCCGGAAATATTCCTAAACTAAATAAGGAAGATTCCTGTGTTTCATTCCACAAATAAGGGTAGGGTATTTTTTCACGAAATATACATTTTTGCAATACATCCAATTTTATTATTCATCATGATTCTGTAAAACATATTTAGTTCATTTATAGATTTTGAATTAAGCTGCAGTTTAGAAAAAACATCTATTAAACAAAAAGAACACTGAAAAGAGAAACTTGCTTCTTTTAAAAAAAATATCGTCGTGTTGCTATATTTGATGTCATTTTGAGACAGATAATGATTGAACTTCCGCATATTATGTTAAATTTAGGTGGCAGGGGAGAGATTCGTATTAAAGACCCATTCAAAAAAACGCATAAAACGACATACCCCTGCTCGATCGATGTGATACTTTATGTAGAAAAATGAACAGAATAATTATGGGATATTTGTGCAGTGTAGCACAGAGTGTGCTTGCTGAGAAATGTGCAACATGTAAGTGTCGCTATGATGCTTAGCATATACACTGTACAGAGTTGTAAATGCAAAACTGAGATATACCGTGATTTGACGAGGAAATTTAGCTTGAAAGCAGTATGGCTTAGGAGAAGGTATGTATCTCAGAGGGATGGTTAATGGGCCCAGATCAACTGGCGAATTTCATTATAGTGTGCATTCATATACAGAATGCTGGGTGTTTCACCCCCTTAGCTCGGGTATGTAGCTTCTGCAGCCCCAATCTTTGAAAGACAAGTCAAAATCTGCCCCCCCCCCCCCCCCCGTGCATTTTCGGTACACGTGCACTCTAATATGTAGATGACGTTGACATATTTTTTAAGCTACATATGTTTATTACGTGCAACAAATAAGCTTCCAGGAAACTGCCCCCAGATTTCTGTTTTCATTGACGTCATGTAGATGCCTACCCCCTCGGCATTAAAAAAACTGTCCTCTGCCAGCTAAAAGTTATAAAGGATGAATTCCCATAACTATTTAAGATGATGTTGATTTAATCCTGACTTGTCTAATGTTGTACAGGCCCGTGGTATGATAATCATGAGGAACCTTGTAACACATCATCCTTTCTTCAGAATAATTAATTTGATCTTGCTGTTGTGTGTTTTTCTATCGAAGTCTCACGAGTTGGAGGATTCTGGAGATCGTGATTATGGAGCCGTCTTTCGGTTGACTGAGAAAGGACTTACCTATGGTAATCAATATTTAAGAAAACAACTACTTCATCCTATATGTATATATAATAATTACTAATATAAGCGAATGGAATATCTATACTAGAAGTCTCTGATGAGACTGTAGCTCTACTATATTGTGTACGTTTAAGAAAGACAGATGTATCTTAAAGTTTGTATAGTCTACCTGTGTACCAATTCTTATTGAATCTGACGAAAACTGTAGAAATAATGTTTTATAAAAAAAAAAATCACAGAATTTATCTGTACCAAGTCTTGTGGGAATTGCATTTGAGGTCAGACGACACGTTCCTCAATAATACATTTTTTTCCCCAAGAATTTGTCATTGAAGTATTGCTACTTTAAGAAGTTTCCTCACAAAATTTTTTTTTGGCATTTGTCATGATACCAGCTGAGGATGCTATTTACTATATAATCCTATTAGAAAACACTGGAATTGCCAATATCACAATCATTTGGTGTCTTTATCTACTTAGAAATTTTGAAAACATTTAAAAATCACAAGACAATGATAATTATGATTAATTTGTTGTATACATGTATTAGGAAGAGATACAAAACAGTTTCTCGAACAACGTGTCGTCGGACCTTAAACTGTAGAAGGATGAATTACTCAGATATTTCTATCTTAAGTAACCATGGCAACCCTCAATTGATATTCGAAATTTGATAAGCAGAATTATGTATCTTATTGTAGTCTGTATCTTATTGAAGTCAAATAAAATCTGCAAGAGAAGTAACGTTTTGAAATAATTTCACAGGAGTTTCTATTTTAGTAACCATAGCATTTGTTGAAAGTAGAAAACTGCTAAATAGAATAATGTATCTTAGTAAAATCTACCTATGTATCAAGTCATATTGAAATTGAATCAAAACTGTAGGAAGAGTAGGGTTTTGAAAGAATCTCACATAAATTTATTATATTTATTTAGTAGCCATGCCGAAATCAAAATCCGATACTTAGAGAATTATGTATCTAAGCAAAATGTACTGTGTACCAAGTCGTAATGAAATCAGTCCAAACCTGTAGGAAGAGTAACATTTTGAAAGAATTTCAAAGAAATTTTTTATTTAGTAGCCATTAGCCCTTTTCACAAAAAAATCTTACGACTAAGTTTTAAATTTTCTAATTCTTCTATACGTTCGTAAATTGAAGTAGATTACAAAAAATCTTATATTTCTATTACATTACAATATATTGTGAATTATCCTTCAGATATAATAATTGTTTTTATTAAACAAAGGAATTACAGAGTTGTCAAATTTTAATCTTAGTCTTAAGAATTTTTGTGAAAAAGGCCACATGTCAATAAGTTTGTTGGAATCAAAAACCGATATTTAGAATCATTCACCTAAGTATAGTCAAGTGTACCAAGTCTTATATTGAAATAAAACCAAAAACTGTAATTATTAAGTGAAAGGAAACATAGATTTTTTTTCAGAATTTGTTTACATTCATTTACTATTTATTACAAACAAAGAGTCGCCCATGTGGCGCAGTGGTTAGAGCGTTTACTCTAGAGTCGCGGCGTAAGGAGTTGATCATTACGTCGCGGGTTCGTATCCCACTGTGGGACGTGGAGACCGGTCCTTCGGATGAGACCGTATAAACCGAGGTCCCGTGTCGCAGTAGGTGCTGGCACGAAAAAGATCCCTCACTGCTCAATGGCCCTAAGTGCCGAATATAGGTCAAAATTTGTAGCCCTCCACCGGCAAGTGGTGGCGTCTCCATACGAGTGAAAACTTCTCGAGAGGGACAACATACAAACAATACAAACAAAGAAAACAGCAGGATGATGCAAAAAGTTGTATATACAGATCACATCAAATATAAACCAGAAAACTCTTACGAAACTGTACCTTTACTGGGTTTTACTAAACAAAGGTTGAAAAAAGTAGGACTTGAAAGTATGGCAACAGCAATAAATGAATTAATGATCCTTGCTTTAGTTTCTTATCGTGGAAAGTTGAACTGTATAGTAATTGGACAAAAATTGTAGTAGAAGTAACCTTTTGAAAAAATTCACAGAAATTTCTCTTTTTAGTTGCCACATCTTCGCTAGCCAAGGGTTTCTGATCCGATACTCTCCTCACAAACCCTTGGCCTATGGTGCTGTCAAAAGTCGGGATCACGTGATCTCGAATCTTGCAACAGAAGCACAGATAGCGTCATGGACAGAAATAAAAATTAAAGTGTTCAGAGAATAAGTGACAAGAGGGTATCGAGCGATGTTTATTTGTTATATAGGGTGCAAATCTACATCTGCAATATAGATTTCTGATCAAATTATTTGCACATCAACTTAAAATTGGATTACACCATAGCTATTTATAGTATGGCCTGTTTTCTGACGGATAGTTGTTTAATTGTGTTTTTTATTGCCGAGACTAAAGAGTCAAATTATATCCCGAAAGCAGATTTCGTCATTCACAAACGGAAAATGCTGATTGGTAAAGATATCAATCAGCTCCAATCAAAACTCGAGAAAAAAAATCCCAATTTTTTAACACCGTAGGCCAAGGGTCGGTAAGGAGAGTAGCGGGTCAGAAACCCTTGGCTAGCGAAGATCTAGTAACCATGGCAACCTTTTTTTTTATATCAAAAACAAATAAATTGAATTATGTATCTTAATTAATCTTCTTGTATATCATGAGCATCACTGAAGAGACATAATTTGTCGAAATGCGCATCTGTTGCATCAAAATTGGTATCGTATATGATTTACATTATGACCCCTTGGTCGAGGCCTCTGCTGGTGGACTGTTAGTCCCCGAGGGTCTCTACAGCCCAGTAGCCTAGTACTTCGGTACTAGTTGAAAAATATGGATATATATTCAATTGCTGGGGTAAAATTTAGAAATTTATTTCAAAATTAAGGATTATCTCCCTCATGCATAGCTCTGATCCTCCAGTCTTTGGCACTTTTTCAGCCCTTCAAAGTCTTTTTTTATTTAAATAAAATGCAGACTAATTCTATACACAGTTATATGGGAACAAGATCAAAAAGATCATAGGAGGAGTAACATTTTGGAAAATTGATTACAAACAGACGAACGACTATTGCAGAGGCTCTTCTTGTCTCT